AAGCAGCTTATCACATACATTTGCTTATTTCCTGCAGGGTGTTCATTTGGGAAGCGTTTCGTAACTGCTGAAGTCACTCCTTTGCGGCTGGAGGGGAGAAGGTGAGGGTGTGAGAGCAGACCTCGCGCTGGGAGGGTCACAGTAACTGTCCATGGGCTTTACGCGGCTCCCTGAGGGAGAGCGACCCACTCCTCTGCTCTAGGGCAGCGAGCGTTCTCAGACTCTAAGTCTTTTCTGGAGGCCATGGGTGAGAAAGGGGGTACAGAGGAGGTGCTGGAGGCCATGGCTGAGAAAGGGGATACAGTTCTAAGGAGGCCCAGCTTTTGTCTCCTAAAAATGAACATGGTGGTATATTTGTGTTTGGGGTGGGGGTAGCAGGGAGATGGGGTGTCAGAGGAACTGGATAGTATGGCGGGAGGGGGGGGCATTGGGGGCCACTAAGGTTGCCAGGGGAGCGACCGAGAGTCAGAGAGCCGACAGGACCACCAGGACCATGGACAGTGGGGCTGAGTCAGAGCTGGGCCCTGAGGCCTCCAGCTGGCAGCTGCTCCCACCATCCTGCTTCCCCAAGCCCTGCCCTCCCTGGGGCCCATGAAATAACCCGGGACGTTGCAGGCCTTTTGCCCTGAATTCCCCCAGGGCCTCCCCACATCCTCACAGATGAGGCTGAAGTTCAGTGGGAGGGCGAGTGGGCAGGAGGACTGTGTGGTAGCAGGTTTGATGGCCAGCGTCCAGCCTGGCTTCTGCAGTGACCAGGTGGCTGGCTGTGTGACTCAGGACATTGTGGCAGGGGAGGGGGGGAGCTGTGGCTTCCGGAGCAGACGCAGCTTTTGCTGGTTCTGGTGGGCGACTTCTCCGGGAAGCAGCCCTGTGTGAAAGCGCCCAAGCAGCCGCGGGGGAGCCCTCCCCCAGGGAACCACCAGCAGCCGGCACTGCTCCCCAGTCCTGCGAATGGGTCCTCGGGCTCCAGACCACTGGGCCCCGCTGACGTCTGTCCCCTCCTGGGACACCCCAAGCCAGAATCGCCACGGAGCGCCCCAAACTCTTACCGCAGAAACGGGGGCGGGGGGCGGGGTGACCAGCATTGATGTTTTAAGCCACCAAGTTCAGGGTGACTGGTGACACAGCCTCTTCTTTCTGAGCCGCCCCTTCGGGCCGCGGGCCACCGTCGTGGACAGAGAGGCGCCAGGGCCTGGAAGGAGCGCTAAGTTGTTTGCAGTTGTGTTTGGTTTTGCTTCCATCAAATAAATTGAATTTCAAGCCAACCTTGGAAGCCGGTACAACAAGCCTTTGGAAATGCGCTTTGCCGGTAATGCGCCTAGAAGAGTGCGCTCCAGGGGAGCCCTCTGCTGCCGGCATCGCCCGCCCTCGGGGAGAGCGGGGGTGGGGGGGACCCCCACTGGATGCCGGGGTGGATTGAAGGTTACTTGCAAACACCAGC